CACCCTTTCCCTCGCAACGAAGCTACGAAGCAACGAAGCAACGAAGCAACGAAGCAACGAAGCACCGAAGCCGGCCGAAACTTCAGGGCTGACTTGGAGCGTGAGCAAGAGGTGGACGGCACATCCGACTTGCGGCCTTTCGTCCGCACCTCACCATGTCGCTGCGCACTCGCCTCCAGCTGGCCTCTCCAACACGCTTCGCTGCCGCACCGTTGGAAGCGTGTCGCTTCATCCGGCGCTCGTCGACGGCCGCTCTCGAAGGCCACGCATGGATCGACGGTCGATTTGACCGCACCTCCTCTCGGTTGCTTCCGATCCACGACCCGGCGCGCGGCACACGCATCGGGAGCATCTCCATCCCCACCCCGACGCAAGTCTCGACCGCCCTCTCCACCGCACACTCTGCCTTCGACTCTGGGCTGGGAGCGTGGTCTTCGCCCGATGCGGTGCACTTGCGCTCGGAAGCGCTGTCTCGTCTTGCGGGGATCCTGCGCCAACGCGCGCCCGAGCTGGCGCTGCTCGAGTCGCAGCAGACCGGTCGGTGCATCCGCGAATTCCGCGCACAGCTCGCGCGCCTCTACGAGTGGTTCGACTACTACGCGGCGCTCATCCGCGTCGGCGAGCGCAGCATCCTCCCGCTCCGAGGCCAGCTGCTGGGCTACAAGTCCCGCCGCCCCCTCGGCGTCGTGCTGCAGATCACGCCGTTCAACCACCCGCTGCTCATCGCAGTCAAGAAGCTCGCTGCCGCCCTGGCCGCGGGCAACAGCGTCATCATCAAGCCCAGCGAGATCGCGCCGCTCACGGTACTTCAGCTTGGACCCATGGTGCAGGCAGCAGGAATCCCCGACGGCGTAGTGCAGATCCTGCCCGGCGCGGCCGAGACCGCCAAGATGCTGGTGGAGGACGACAGAGTGCGCAAGATCGACTTTACCGGCGGAACGAGGGTGGGCACATTGCTCTCTGAGCATGCGGGTAGGAGGCTTGTGCCCATCACCACCGAGTTGGGTGGCAAGGCGCCGCTGGTCGTCATGGACGATTGCCCTGTCGATGTGGCGGTGAATGGCGCATCGTTTGCTGCGTTTGTAGCTAGCGGCCAGACCTGTGTTTCGGCCACACGGATCATCGTGCACGAGCGCATCTTTGACGCCTTCCTCGCGGCGTTCGCTCGGCGCGCCGACGCCATTGCCAAGCGCATGGGCGATCCACAGAATCCAGCGACGCTTCTGGGCTCGCTCATCAGCCGCACGCACGTCGACAAACTCCACTCCTCCGTGCAGTCGGCTGTATCGGGGCCATGGCGATGCGTGATGGGCGGCCAGATTCCCGCTGGGGCTGCTTTTGACGGACACGACTTGGGCGCCGGTGCATTTTACCCGCCCACGATCCTCGCTCCCGCCGATGGAGCCGAGGAGGGTGCATTGCGGAGCAGTGCCATGTGGCAAGACGAAGCGTTTGGGCCGGTGGTGTGTGTGGTTCCGTTCCGCGACGATGCGCATGCCGTCGAGCTGGCCAACGACAGCCGGTTCGGGCTCGGCGCGAGTGTGTGGACGCAGGACCATGCGCGCTTCCACCGGCTTTTTTCCCCCCC